GAGAAAGGTATGGTTTTCTTGAGACCCAATCTGTTTGAATTCCCATATACTTTCTTCTTACTTCCTATAAATTAACTACTGATTCTCACGCCGGAGGTACAATGGGGGAAAAAGCCCGGACTTCGTTTTGCAGGTAACGTCCATTGATCGAGCAACCGGAACACCCCACACGTCATCATTTTTGTGGAGGTAAATTTAGTGATTATTTCAAGTGGCAACTCGAAGAACATTTAAAGTTCAATGACAATTAGTAAAGCTAGCATTTGATGCATGTTCCAACACTGGATGGATGTAGAAGTAACAGCACGACATCAATAAATTGTGCGTTTAATGTTTTGAGTGCTTATTTGAAGAGAACAAAGAATAACCAACGAGAAGAAAAAAAACTTGTGAATTTTGTTATAGATAGTAGTATTAAAATAAGACGGGTTTTTTAGTTCACTTTTTTCTTTAATAGTCATTACGTACATTTAAAAGTTTTTAAATTTAGTAAACGCCCAGTCCTTGTTTTGTAGAGATTAAAATAAGATTTTTAGTAGATTTTGATAAAAGTTGATGAAATGTGCGGTTGAAAAGTTGTGAATATCATAAAATATGTGATTAAAATTAATTTTTAACTTTGATTTGAGATTTTAATTGAATTTGAATCCGAACCAAACAGCAGCCTAACTATGAACTTAGCAAAAATCACATGCACGTACAAACTCGACACAGCTTGATAAGCTTTTAAATTTAGCATGAATTGAAGATACTCTGTTTTGATCCACATCTAGACTAGAGCAAGGCTATCTAGAAAGTAATAGGCGTGACAAAATTGCTGCTAAATTATTTTATGATGATCCCACTTTTTTTTTTTTATTGTTATCATTTTTTTTTTCAAATTTCTACATCTTCAAATTGATTTTTAAAAGATGATGATTGTTGACTAGTGACACGTGAATTTTGTATTCGACCATAATTATTCAAAATTTCAATTTGAGCATTTGTCTTTTTGTAATTATTTAGTCATAAATAATTTTGTGCAATTGGTCTCTTCAAATTTTCGTACCAGTCAAATTGTAGTTTGCCCGACAAGATTAATGTTGTCTTGTATTAGGGCATGTTTGGGTCGGATTAAAATCTGATTTTAATTTAAATCAAAGTCAAACAATTAATATTAACCACATCTTTCATGGACCCCACATCTTTTCAACAACACATTTTTAAAAATTTAGATTAAAATCAGAATTTAATAAACTCTATAGATGACAAGCTTTATTAATCACAAAATTTAAAAATAATACAAAAAAAGGTAAATAAAAACATATCTCATTTAGTGGGAGAGAGCACAATAACGGGTTAAACTATAAATTTTGCTATTTATATATAAAAAATGTATATAATGGATTACATA